ACATCCTTTAGGGATCTAACATTTTGGTTATCACCGATCCTCTGTGTTAGTACAAAAAAAAAAAAAAACTGGTTTTTCTAAGTCATCCCTGAAATCAACACTCAGCATTCAGAACCTCTAACTAGACCTCCCATTTCAAAGAGGCCTCTCAGGCAGGAGGTCTGGGTGTTCTCTGCACACCCCAGTCCTAACTACTGATGTTGATTTTAACTTGAGGTTACTGGGATACTACAGTCGTACAGTTGAATAGAAAACGAGGTGTCATGGGCCCAGAGTTCCCAGTAATCACCCAGGACCCCAGAGTAGGAACTACCTGCCCCAGCTCTGCTCCCCCTCGCAGCCTTCCCTCCAGCGCCTGTCCCAAGCTAGTGCACGGCTGACCTTCTCTGCACCTTGTCCCAGCAGTTAGCTCTGGCTGAGCACCTTTCTCAGCACCCCTGCTCTGAATCTCACCTCTGATATCTGCCTTTCCTAAGCCACCCTTCCCTCCTGAAAACGCGCCTCTGTGGCTGCTCTCACAGTTAAGCAACCTTAGAAATGTGGTATCCTTTCAATCCACCTGAAAGGGTCTCAAACCTAAGACTAGCACAGAGTATTATACATATACCAGTGTATTGTCCCTTACTCTTAAAAGCAGGTATTATTGCAGTTATGTTATCATTCTCATTTTTCAAATGATTAAATTGAGGCTTTGAGATACTAAGTAGGCCACCCAACTAAGAAGTAGCAAGTTAGGATCTGAACGCAACTCTGGCTGCCTCCAAATGTGCAGTTACTTTCTGATATAACCAAAAGGGCAAAGGAGTTTGCTTCATCCCAAGTCCAACTCCAAGTGATTGGTTCTAGCTGTGCGGTATGCTGCATTGAAGAGCCAAGCTCAGACTCAGCAGAAAAACAAACCAGTTGCTATGGTCTGGGCGTGGTGTACATGTGCCTCTGAAAGTTCACGTGTTGGAAACTTGGTCTTCAACGTGGCAATGTTAGAAAGTGGGACCCACAAGAGGTGAGGCCTGTTGGGAGGGCCTTAGGTCACTGGGGGCATGCCCTTCAAGGGACTGTGGGACTCTGGCTTCCTCTTTGGTGATGTGATCTCTTCCTCCCATCATTGCCTTGAGGTGACACAGCTGAGTGGGGGCCCTTACAAGAACATGAACCGTGCTGTTTGTACTTCATCCTCCAAAACCGTGAGCTAAATAAACCTCCTGTTAAGTTAGCTTGCCTCAGGTGTTTTATTATAGTAACACAACAACCTAATATAGCAACCATGACAGGAAGCAAGATCAGCCATGGGTCCAGAGTTTAAAAGCAAGAGCATACAAGTCGCCTATTTGCTACTTTTCTTTGGCTAGGATTGACTTTTCTCTTAATTTGTATATTCCACAGTACTTAGAACATAGTGCTTAACATATAGTAGATGAGTAATAAATGTTTATTGCTTGATAGCAACATGAGCATCCTCAATAGGCACAGCATCACAGACATCTCAGAAGCAGCCTGCAACAGCTCTGTCAGGGGTCATAAATGGCTTGCTGTCCTCTGGCCTGGCCAAGCAGCTTTCATTCCATGAATGATCTCAAACTAATATGCATGCAAAACAAAGTGTGAAGCATTAAGGAAAATTGTTGTAACCAAAAAAACCAATTATCCATGTTCAAAATCAGTTGGGCAGATTTTGTACAGAGTTTGTAACAGAGAACAGGCCCTGTGTGTGGCTGCTTTCAGGGCCAAACACTTCCTATGAATGGTTGCAGGCACAGAGTACCTTTCCGCCCTTGCTGCCACCCACTCCAGCAATTAACGAACAGAAAGGGAGAGAAGGTGTTTCCAGTAGGTAGTGTTTAAGTTGCTAACTACCAACATTCTCCTCTGTGCGCTTTCCTGCCCTGCCCTCCCCCTTTGGGTTTGACCCTGATTTGGGTTCCCTGCTTCCCTCCTAGACTGTCTCCTGCCTCGGGCTGGGAGTTCTGTTTCCGTTTCATCTCTTTTCCATACCTCTGGATGGGGATGTGTCCAGGAACCCAGGCCAAAACCAGCAAATTTATCACGGTGGTAATGACAGCAAGCTGCATGCTCAGTGGATTCTGCAATCCCCCTCAACCCCTGCTTTTGCCAAAACCTGTGGAGCTGCAAGATCCAGCAGATTACAGACACTGCTATCTTCACTTGATGGATGGCTCTGCTGGAAAATGCAATTAGACATCAGCCATATGGCTATTTTGGGAAGCTTGTTTGGGGAGATCTCCAAAAAATTGCCATGGGGGCAGAGGGGTAAATGCGAGTCCATTCACCAAAGCTGAGTGTGGCTGCGGGTTCAGAGCTGCGTTCAGCAACATGCGACATCATAAAGACCCAGCTTTGGCCCCTAGGGGTGCCTCCTGATTCTAAGAATAAGTATTTAAGTTTGAGGACTTTCTAGAACTCTCAGTCCTGGTTAAAATCCCCCCTTATGTACATGACTGAGCCAGGGGCTGTGGAGAACCCTCGACCCCCTCATCCCAACGCAGCTTCCCCAGGGCCTGGGGGAAGGAGCTCCCCAGGAGCAGGGAAGTGGCGATTGGCGAGGTTGAACACCTACTGTGGGCAAGGCTGAGGTTGGAGGCCCACCGTTGGAGGCAGCTTTCCAGGGCAGAAGGAGCCCAACATGCATGTTAAAGGAGCAAGTCACTCCCTGGCTGGCCCAGTGGGCAGTTCCCAGGCGTGGGAGAGGCCAAGGGTGAGGTGCCTGTACCAGACATCCAGGCACAAGCAGGGGTCGAGGAGGCCTGAGCTGTGCACGCGGTGGAGAAGAGAGCAGCTCCGTGCCCCGCGCTGAACCCAGAGGTCTCTCGGGGTGTGTTGCATTTGCCGCAGTTGCATCTCCTTGCACTGGGAGTACGCACTCACCAGGCTTCCTGAGAGCCCAGCCACTGACCAGAGCCTCAGCCAGCACCATCCTTGTGCTCCCCCGCTGCTTCACTCCACTGACAGGGAAAGTAAAGGCCACATCACACAGAGTGCAGGGAGATCCCAACTGTGGCTGTGGCTGGCCCAGTGTCAGGTCATTTTCATGGTGACCTCAGGCTCACCAGTATTCTCCACCGAGCCAGGTCTCCCCTCCCCAGCTCCCCTCAAGCACCCCTGAAGCCCCTGCCCTTCCCCACCTAGAATTAGGGGGCAGTCATTGCTCAGGCTTCCTCTCCTGCAGTTTCCTCCCCAGTGGGGACACATGGAAGGCAAGGGGCAGACATGCAGGGACCCAAGCCCTCACCCATGGCGATGTGCTGAGGCAGTGGCCTCTGAGGGCCCCCCAGGGGACTGGGAATGCTCAGCAGGGAGGAAGTGGGGTGTCGTGGGTAGTAGAGGTCTTGCCCAGCATGCACAGGCCCGGTCCCCCCTCATCACCACCCCAGTGAAAGAAACCAAAGCAAACTAAGCACAGAAAGCGTGGTGTCCTGAGCTGGGTGAAGGGCTGTCCCTGCCAGTGAGGGACCTTCCTTTCTGTGCTGGTGCAGAGGACTGAGCAGCCCAATAACTGAAAGTCACAGGCAAACAGGTGACACTCGGCAGGACTGAGCCCTCCTGGACGCCTTCCTCAGTGGGACGGGCTGGACCCACACGGAAGGGAGAGGCCACCTCATTCTGCAGAGGATCCTGAATCAGCTGGGAAGTTAGGAGGTGTGACCTCTGCCTTCCCTCCCATCATACTGTCCTGGCAGTGTCCTGGCACTGTGTGAGTGACAGGTCTCCCGTGACCCCTCCCCTGTCTGCTCATGGTTTAGCTCCTTGGTCCAGCTGCAGCCTCAGAGCTGAACGATGTACTTCACCTGAGGAAAGAAATATATCAGACAAGGGAGCAGTGGAATCCTGCTCCCCGGAATCCCCAGGGGCTCATCACCCTCCACGTGGGCCATGTGATGCAGACAGCACTGACATCCTAACAAGCAGGCTGTACCCCAGACACAAGCAGGTCAGGGTGCTGTCAGCCACCCTCAATCTGAAATCAGGGGAGGGTGGGACGAAGGCAGCCTAGTGGCCAGCACGCTCCGCTCCTCCCCAGGGCAGGACATCCCTTCCGATGATCACCCAGCTTCTGCGCCAGCACTTTCCAGAAGGAGCTCACTTCGGTGCCAGGAGACTTAATCCACTTGAGACAACTTAATCCATTTTGAAACAGTGCTCATTGTGAGCTCTCTGCCTTCTGTTTGAGCCCCAAAGTCTGCCTTTGTTTGATTTGACTTCTGCCCTCAGGAGGAAGACAAAATAAATCTGTTCCTTCATCCATATGACAGCATACAGTTATCCAAAGACAGCCATTATCTCTCTACCTCCTCTCCCTCTAACCTTTCTTCTCCCTCCATATATCTCAGGTCACCTCAAATGTTTCTCAAATGGCATAATTTCAGATCTCTCAACCATCCTAGTCACCCATCCTTTGATTCTTCTTGTGAAGGAAGCTCCCAGAACAAATACCAATTGTGATCTCAAGACTGCAGAATACAATGGAATATCACCTCCCTTGTTCAAGCCGCTATAGCTGTATTGATGCAACCTAAAATCATGTGACTTTGTACCTACTAATCAACTGTTAAGATCATTGTCAACTAAAACTACTCTTTTTTAAAATTTGATATAGTTTCATATCACTTAAAGAAAGAAGTGGATAAATTATTGAAAGACCAAATCCTGCCTCCCCCTTCATTAATAACAGACAAAAAGAACTATTTAAGAGAGTAGGGTCCTAGCAAAGGTTATGAGTGACAGATGACAAATGAGCCCTGTGATTGAGTCCAAGAGTGAGGAATGTATTGGTGTTGACAAGCCAGCGCCTGCCCTGGCAGCATCCTCTTTCAGCACAACCCAGGACATGAATGGGGGTTGGGGCTCTCCTTGGAAGGTGTGCCTACTTCCGTCTCCTTTAATCTGTACCTTTCATTCCCCGCTTAGCTGGCCACATGCTCCTGAGGTGAGGTCTTCCTGCAGCCCACTGGAGACCCATTAGTGACTCACTCTGTCTTTGACAGGTCACCTGAAGGAGGAGATCACCCGGCGGCACATACAGCAGGTGGCTCTAGGTGAGTACAGAGCAAAGGCCGCGGGAAGGGAGGTGAGGGGTGGAGACAGAGCAGAGCCCTGGAGGTGAGGGAAGCCAGGGTTGCTGTGGGCGTGGCTCCCGGGTGGCCCTCACTCCCACCCCTGCTCTCCTCCCCCTACCTTCCAGCCGCCCTCATGCTGCGGCCCCTTCCACCCACATCCCCTGTGTCCACCCGCTACATCCGGGTCCCTCTCTGAGCTTTCTAGAGCCACTTCTAACCAACCCCATCGGTGACAATGAATAATGAAACAGTGGCCCGTCTGCAGTGGCCTGATGTGCACTGTCCCCTTCCATCCTCTCAAGTCCAGAAAGAGAGGTGCATTTGCCAGGTGCAGGAGATTCTGCCATCCCCACCCCGGGGTCCGGTGTCCAGTGAGTTCCAATGATTGGGACCTCAGCACACTGACGTGCAGACATTAAACCCATACGGTCACATTCCAAGAGGCCCTTCACACCCTCTCACCAGCGAGCATCTGTAGAAAGCGCCTCCTTTTGATATGTGACCCAAGGAAGTCACCCATGGACCGTGCAGGTAGAGCAGGGGTCCTGCCCTCCCCAGCTAGCCGGGGCCCAGCCTCTATATCCCCTGGAGGTGGCCTGGACCCTGCAATGACCTGCAACTAGAGAAATCTAGTGCCCAGGGCCGACAGAAGGGAAACGGGACAGAGTCCTGAATGTATGAGTACTGGCCCAGTGGACCCTAGTAACTTGGACTCTGGGGGAGATTGGGTCACTGCCTTTCAGAAATACTAATAATGATAATGTGGAATCACAACTGACTACACCAGAGACAGGAGCAGCAAGCCCAAGCCACACTGGTTGGCGCTCCATGCTACCACGGCTGACCCTGGCACTGAGGGCCCAGACGACCTGCCCCCGGTGGCCAGGGGCCTGCACCTCAGGACTGACTCTCTGCTCAGTGCCTTCGCCAGCTGTCCCGGGTTAAAAGCTGGTTGAGCTGGTCCCGGGCAGGCTCAATGACCTCTGTTGGAAGAGTTGTCAAGTGGACCCTCTGGGCTCCAAGCCCTGCCTCTGCTCACCCTGGGCAGGCCCCTGGATGTGGAGTCTGCCCCTAGAGCTGCCATCGGGCCCTCAAAACTCCGACCTGTCCTCTAGCCTTCATGACCCTGGCTTGTAAGATATAATGATGTGAAAAATGCCAGTCGCTCCAGGGGCCTGGCAAGCCATTCCTGTGACTTTCAGGGCAAGAGCTATTCTGTCCTCTCTGCTCCCCAGCCCAGGCCCTCCCTGACCTGACCCGTCCAGCTGGGACAGACACTCCCAGGCCTTTGGAACACCGCGGCATGTTCTCAGTTGCAACCACAGGCCCTTGTTCCCCACTCATGTCCCTGGAGACTTCTCAATATTGTGGCAGGTGCCAGGGTCAGCAGGGCCCAGCTCTGCCTGAAGCAATCAGCAAACTTCAAACAGAAAGCAGCCTGGCTGGAGGTTTAATTAAGAGCTTTGGAAATGCCTATTTGTTTTAAAAGCACACTATCCCAATTAGAGAAGAAGTGTTCACATCCCGCAGCTGCCATTGTGAGACCAAGAGCCGGGTCGCCGTCCAGGCTCCTAGGGAGCCTGTCTGGGGCGAGTCTGGGCCGCCAGTGAGCTTGTGTCCCAGCTGACCATGCACGAGCAGCGGAGCTCCTCTGGTGGAGCAAACGCTGGACACCGCAGATTGCTTACAGGGCTTCCAGACTGACCCTGCCGCAGGCCTGGGCGACGGCAGGGACAGCGCCCCTGCAGCTCCCTCGCACGTGGGCTTCAGATGCAAAGGGACTGGATTCGACGTACCCCATCCGCTCCTTTGTCCTGCTCTTTTCTGTCCTTTTGGCTCGATTTCCTTGTCTGTCTCTTCAGTTTCCCTCTCCCTCGGTTTTAAATATGCCCCTGTTATTCTCTCTTTTTTTCTCCCCACCTGCCTGCTCCTAAGTATCCATGTAGGTGTGGTTGGTTTGGGGGAAATAAATAAACCTGAGCAAATGAGGTTTTCCCATATATTTTGCATAGGAATATGTCTTTATGTAAAAGCAGATGCGCGCCCAAGGAACTAGGTACAAAGGCAATGGCAAACCCCAAAGGAACAAAGACCTACTGGTGCTGCGGGAGGCTCCGTCCGCAAGAGGTCGCGATTGGGTGATGGGTCACCAAACCCTGGGCCAGGGGCAGTCAGCTCATCTCATACCTTAGACCCAGGTGTTAACGTTTCAGGAACTTGGGGAGGCGTTTTAAACATGGTTGATACTGAAAATCAAATTCTGTATGCTTAGAATTTAATGAATTTTATTTTTAAACAAAAGTAATCTTCAAGATTTGTTAATTAATTTATAACATTTAAATTACCTGCATCCACTGTACTGTATAGTGAAGAGACTAGATGATTGTATGCTGCTGGGCACATCTTCTCAAGTCTACTTTAGTGATGTCACACTGGTAGCTTGAAATCAGACATGGTGGAGAATGTACACCAAAGAAATTGGCGATAAATTGTTATAAAACCCAGCCTTTTGTGGGGGTAAGGGGTACTGGGGATTGAATTCAGGGGAACTTGACCACAGAGCCACATCCCCAGCCCTATTTTGTATTTTATTTAGGAATAGGGTCTTACTGAGTTGCTTAGCACCTCGCTTTTGCTGAGGCTGGCTTTGAACTTGGCAATCCTCCTGCCTCGGCCTCCTGAGATGCTGGGATTACAGGCATGTGCTGCGGTGCCCAGCAAACCAGGCAATTTTTTTTTTTGAGAGCAGCTATTTAACACCACCACACCACTGGCAAACAGACAAGTACCCCTCTCAAGGCCAGTTGTGCGCACACGCGCGCACACACACACACACACGGTTTTATAAGGATTTCTACTCCTTTTCTGGCTGAAAGTCCAGACCATGGCTTTCTGTTTACCACCTGCCTGAGGAACATCAGGAATTATAAACATCTACCAACCCCAGTCTTTTTGAAAAGCAGTGGACAGGGCAATGAATGAAGATAGAAATAAGGCAGGAGAAGCTCCGGCCCTGTAGGCTCCCTAGGTCTGAGAGCTAGAGCTGGGGATTGAAGAGTAAGATCAGTGACCAGTTCTAAGGGCATCGTCCACAAACAAAGTGACTGAGGACTTGGAGAGACTGGCTCCCACAGACTCCTTCAGGAGACAATAAAATAACGGTGTTTTAATGCAGGCATCACTTGTAAAGGACAGTCCAGAGGGCTTTGCTGAACTCCAGCGTGTGCGTGCCACTCGGTCGTCCCAGCTACCCTAAACGATAAAGGATTGTTAATAATGCAGCTGCGTTCTTGAGTATTTTACCATGAGCTGGGCATGTGTATAATTTCTCTAAGTGTATTTTCTTTAATGTTCATAACATCCCCATGAGGTAGACATCGTTATTATCTCCACTTCACAGCTAAGGCCCAGAGGAGTTAAGCAAACCTGCCTAACTCTGCTCAGCTCAGTATACAAAGCCAAGCAGCCTGGTTCTGAGTCTCTGTCCAGCTACCACACTGCACCTGCTCTGGGCACCTTGCCCAGCATACTGGAGCCCACAGAGGGGCACAGATCCAGTGGGGCCCTCCTAGAATTTCCAACCTAACCAAAGTGAGGGGACATATACAATAGATAGATAGATAGATAGATACAATAAAGAGAGAGAGACAGATAGATACAAGAGCTCCCTTTTCAAATTGCAGATTCAGAAACATGTATTCTTCCATTCACTGTCTTCTTCCCACTGGCACAACAAAACCAGTTTGGCCTTGACCCCTCCGTGAAGCCTTCTCTGACCCCGCCTCCCACGGCTGCTCTTCCCCCTGGCCTCAAACATCTCTTAGTGCACCAGCTTGTTTTGCAATTATTTATTTCCATAGCTTTTCTGAACACTAAAATGTGAGCTTCTTAAAAACTGGGTGCAGCCGAATTCATCTTTGTATCCCCAGCAGCCAAAACGAGCAATAAATTGGTCAAATCAATGGGCAAATGAATGCTTCCCCAGATGGCTTCCAGACTCACACATCTCACAAAAGTACAATGAGACATTTGAACATAAAATAAAATAAGTCCATTTAAAAGAAGTAGAAGGAGTAAGTGCTTTTGGACCCCACAGCTGAGCAAATTACACACACAGGCAATAAATTTGCCTCTCCCTCGTCTAGCCGCTAAGCAAGAAGAGAAGCACCCTGAGTTACATAGCTTTCATTTTCTGACAGGAGGAAGCATACTGACTAATTTATCTGCAGAAATAGAATTTCTTCCTGGAACTAAACACAAACCAGAATTTATCGTGTGGATCCTTGTGTAAAGGACACTGAGTGACACAGTGAACGATGTCTTCAGCTGCAGTTTTACAAAAGCTACCAAAATGTTGTTCGACCAGATGATTCTCATATCGACCCTCGATAAAAGCAAGAGGCCTGACATTAAAGCATAACTCATGGAAAACGTTTATGCGAGCAGCCGAGATAATATGACCCAGGTACTCTGCTTTCTGATGGTCACACATAGCAGGAATGAAACTGGAAGAATCCAGTGCCAGGAATGTGGGCTGTGGCCTTTCTCTTTAAATCTCTCTCTGAGCAATAGTTATCAGAGACTGCATCTTGTTCAGTTCACAATCAAAACTCTAACAAATGCCTATGGTGAAGATTTTAAAGACACATCACACTCCCAAGCAGCATTTGAAATGTGTCAGGTGAGAGGGACCAGCCATCAATTTTGGAATGGACCACAAGGAATGGCCCCTGGGGCTTGTCACCAACACTTTGGGCCTGGGCTGAGTCTCAGAGATGGACAAGGTTCAGAACCCCAGAGAAGAGCGTGGAGTGGTTGAGGGTTGGGGAGGTGGGCTGGTGGGAGGTATGTGGTGTGGGGGGTATAGGTATAATGCACATCTCTTTGTGTGCCATGTGCATGTAATATGTACTTGGGTGTGTGGCACATATGTGGGGGGGTGTTGAGGTGTTTGTGTATATATGTGTTGGCATGTGTGG